TAAATGATTCTATGATTCTAAGTTTAAGTTTAAATCTGTCCATTTAACATCTCAGTATCTTCAGGGAAAACTGCAGAGCACAAATTCCAACAGCAGCGCAGAGAGGGGTGTGCCCATACACTAACCGAATTTCCTTAATATTTACCCAGAAGTTAAATAGAATGAAACACCATCTGCTTCACTGCTTATTAGCAGAGGTCAGTTTGCCTTCCCTCTGCACAGGTGGTCTGTCAGGTACAGGAATCCTGAATTATCCACTCATTCAAAGCCTCCCCTGGATATACATACCCTTTGCAGTGGTTTTACTGATGCATTTGCCATATTCTCTTTTGGCAGAGACAGGACAAAGTGCTCAGTGCTGCCAACATGTTTCAGGGACTGCTAATTTCAGCAAGCAGTGGGATCAGGCTGGTCAGGAGGGAGGCTGTAGCTCAACTGCCTCTACCTCAAGTTCTACAAAAGATCATTTAACACAAAGAAAACATCAGTAGGTTGACAGGGAGGGTGATCTTGCAGTTTCAATGTGATCTTAACAAGTAATGTCAGGCACATGCTTTATGTAGTTTCATGCCATTTTAGTCCTTTGCAGACCTCTCTGGTGTAACCACTGACACTCTGAGCTAGGATGTTGTAAGAAGTATGTAGACCTAAAGCAGGCCTTGAGATGAGGGCTGTAGACACCAGTGCTCTAATTCGTGATAGATTTCTTCTTAAAATCAAGAGCTGAGCAAAGTCATGAAGTTGTTAATTTCAGCAGGTACTCAATACCAAGGTATCTTTGTTGGATAGTTGAGCACATTATTTCTCCATGTCACTAGAAGATGAGGTTAGGCTTTTTCTACCCCAAATTAGCAGGGCTTTTTACCAACTTCAGGTTTTTCTCCCTGTGGCATATTCTTCTCCTGTAAGGACTAGGTGGGACCTCGCTCTCATCAATTTCTAAATTCTTCTGAAACCACAACAAACCTTGCCTGTCCTAGGAACTTGTGAGCTGAGTTCTGTGTGGTTTTCTTTTGGGATTGTTATGCAAATCTTTACACTGGTGGGAACTCTGGAAGTAAGCAAGGAGACCTGGAGTATAACCCACATCTCAAGGTTTATTTTACACAGGTCTAGTTTGCTGTAGAATGGGTTGCCAGTGATAATTAGATGAAGAAGGGCTTGGTTTGCCCTTCCTATTCAATGTGACATAAGGTTAAGAGAGACTTTTACCTAAGAAGCAGTTACGGGTGAAATCAGTAACAAAGGGCATTGTTGACTGTCATCTGATTCTTTGCAGCTGGTCCTGAAGACCTTTGCAAGAACCCTTTGACCATGGAGGACCTCATCTGTTACAGCTTCCAGGTGGCGCGGGGGATGGAGTTCTTGGCTTCACGCAAAGTAAGGAACTTCTCAGGAAGAGTGGCGTGTTATTTATTTGACCGTAGGAAATAGTGCTGTAGGTCTACAAAAGGAAACTGCACGTTTATCTTTTCACTAACAGTCATCCACAACATCTTCTTTTTGCCCTAAGACATACCTGAATCATTAATACTACAGGGTGAAACAGCCCATGCATTTATTGACACAAATGTTAGTGATCTGTATAAGGTTTATGGGTCACCAATTCATAGAATAATTAAGTAGTTGGAGGAGGGGACTGACTTATAAGGACAATTAAAAGAATTTGGGACAAATCCCTGGTAACTAGAGCTAAACTAGAGTAAAGGAGTTTGCATTGAGGAGGTTGCCTGTAACTTGTGCAGTGGGATTGAAAGAGCAGTGTGAGAAGCAACGATGCTCGCCTATGAAACTTCATGGGTGAATCTTTGGAGAGTCTATTGCCAAAGACACCCTGGCAGTCAATAGCACCTCACTTGCATTTTCGCCTTCTGTAAGTGCTTTTCTGTGCTTTGATCCTAAATATGTATAGTACATGTGTCAAAGCATGTAAATTCCAGCAAGCATGAGGAATTGCCTGCAGTTGTATAGCAAAACAAAAATACTTGGAAATGGCAAAAGGAAACAGATGTGGGGAATACAACACTCTGTAGAGGCTAGGTGTTCAAGAGCAGGCTTCAGAGTCTGTTCTGAAAACATGCATTTGTCTACATTTCATACATCCTGGTTGGTGTGTATATGTAAAACTACGTCTTTCCAAGATCTGCAGTTCTAGTCCATACTAGAAGCAAATCTGCAGCTGCTTTCAGAGCCTGGCTTTTTTACTTCAGACTATTGAGGATTGAGTTTTGAAGTCTTCGGGTTGTTGGCTAAGCTGTTCTGCATAGGTAAAGACATAGACTTCTGTTGGTAGTCAAGATCAGTTTGTGTTGGAATCAAACCAATGTTTTAGTGTGGTATGTTTTTCGGAGAGGGAGTGGAGTAAACCTAAGTAAATCTAAAGGTAATCAGATCTGAACCTGTTTTGTGTCAGCTTCTTAGGATAATTAATTAGCTAACTTCAAAGACCCTCTCTGCATAGTGGATAAACAGATGTATGTTTGGACTTGGGAACACAAGTCTCCCTGAGCCAAATCAGTTGCGACCATCAAAAAGTCACTTAAAATCAGTAACTGTTGATGCTGAGGTTTCTTTTTCTTAAAAGGTTTTAAGAATTATCTGGCCTTTGAGGGTACAAGAGCACATATGTGAAAGAGATCAGCCCTGTGGACAGAGCTGTGACGACAAGCAGCGTCTGAAGTTGTTTACTTCTCTTTGCAGTGCATCCACAGGGACCTGGCTGCTCGTAATATCCTCTTATCAGACAATAACGTGGTCAAAATCTGTGATTTTGGCTTGGCTCGAGACATCTACAAAGACCCAGATTACGTCAGGAAAGGAGATGTAAGTTTCAGATTCTCTTTGAGAGAGAATTAATATTTGAGAGAGAATTAACATGAAGTCAGGACTGCTTTTTATTTTTCCATCTTAAATGGGTTTGTGGTAACTCAGTGTTTTGCTAGACTGTGATAACTTTTTGTTTACGAAAATGCTTTCAGGCCAGGCTACCCCTAAAATGGATGGCACCAGAAACCATTTTTGATAGAGTATATACCATTCAGAGTGATGTATGGTCCTTTGGAGTTCTGCTATGGGAAATATTTTCACTAGGTGAGTCACTTTAATTTTACTGAACCATCTTAAATTTTAAACAATAGATTCTGAAGAAAATAGAGTGTTCTTGGACCCTCTTTGGCATGTTTTTTTACTTCTTGAAAATCTGTTTTCTCCATCAAAATAAAATATTCAAATTTCCCTGAGAATGCAAATGTAAGATCACGGACATGAAATGCTTCTTCATACAATTTCAGTTATGTGATGATGTGCCTCATTTACTCAATCAGTTGCTGTTTCCATCATAAATATAAATTGTTTGCACATCCAAATATACTGAATTACCTTATTAACTCAGGCCATAGCAAATTATTTGCTTGAAAATTAATCTCAGAATTTAAGAGTTGAATGCATTAAAATTACCACTGTTCTCATTTTAGGTGCGTCGCCGTACCCTGGAGTGAAAATTGATGAGGAATTTTGCAGAAGACTGAAAGAAGGGACAAGAATGAGAGCACCAGACTATACAACACCAGAAATGTGAGAAACTGTTCTTCCAGCTGCCCAGTTACCCACAAGAACAGCAGATGCTGGAGCAAGCAATAGGTGTTGTTTTCTTTATGCTGATAGTTTAATGGGCTTTGTCCTTCTAGGTACCAAACAATGCTGGATTGCTGGCACGGAGATCCTAAGCAGAGGCCGACTTTTTCAGAGCTGGTGGAGCACCTGGGGAATTTACTGCAAGCCAACGTCCGTCAGGTACGTGAAAAGACTTTTTGCTAAAACCACCAGCTGAATCCCTCCTGTCCTGCCAGCCACCGTGAAATCTCGTAGCTGAGTAGTGGGGCTGTTGGGGAACCTTGAGGAGTGGCTTCTTCCACCACTCCCATTACTGACCAGTAGTCAAGGCAGCTTGTGGAGAAGAATGACTTGGTGGGGAAGAGGTCTCAGAGGTCTATTGTGTTAACCAAAAGCTGCCATGCCCTGCCAGCAAGGGCTTCCCATGACAGCACTCCTGTGGTTATTTAGCTGTCTCTTTGGTGAGTTGTTGTCACAGATTCAGTTCCCTGCTCTGCTGATGATTTCTTTGCATACTGTGAAGGCATTTTGGCAGGTAGCTCCTGTTGATTTTACTGGGCCAAAGATGGTTATCTTGGTGTATGTGAAGGTCTGGGCTGCAATGCTTTTAATGACTCTGCTGGAAAATGAGGATAGAGGCATTATGCTGCTGCTTGTCAGCAGGTCTGTCTATGCAGATAAGTATATTAATACTTGTCCTGTGTGCAGTCATTGTGATAAGAGAGCCCACTGCACCCAGGAGAGGTGCATGAGCATCCCTCCCAGGTTCTCCATCTTGTGGCTCTGTCTTCATGTACTATGGAAGCAGACAAGGCCAGGGCAGTAGATGTGAGCATACTGGATGAAGGAGGCTGGATTTGGCCATGCATTTTATTAGACAATGTCTCCCTTTCTGACCTATTGGTAATGATGGGAATCATCTGCCCTTCCAAACTGTCACTGTCTTATGTGCTTGCTAAAACTCAGAAAGAATAGCATTTCTTCACTTCTCTGAAATGAGATATTATGTATCTCAGTTACATACTGAATTTTAGGTAGCAGCTTGAATATTATGCATCACAGACTCTTAGACTGGCTGAGGTTGGAAGAGGCCTCTGGAGATCATCTGGGCCAACACCCCTGCTCAAGCAGGGCCACCAAGAGCCAGTTGCCCACAACCATGTTGAGACAGCTTTTGAATACCTCCGAGTATGGAGACTCCACAGCCTCTCTGGGTAACCTGTGCCAGTACTTGGTCACCTTCACAGTAAAAAAAAAAGGTGTTTCCTTGTATGTTCAGAACATACTTTGTGTATATTTGCCCATAACCTATTATGGCTGGATGGTTAATGATGCAGAGCCTCCAGTCATGAGCTGTAGTGTACTGTGACAATAAAAGACAAACATGATTTACTGTCTGATGACCCATAGTTAATTATGCATGTGTCATATTGTAACCGAAAAGGGGTTAAAAAAACATAAAGGTAGATTCTAGTGAAGGATTTCTTATGGGACTATAAATAGTTATGCAGTACCAAAGGATATATAATCCATTTTTTCTCCCTATTCTTTAGAACAGAAATGTAAATTAATGGGTATTTTTTTTTAAATGGCATCCTTGTTATTCTTATCAAATTAGATGCCAAAGTAATGATAGAAAGTGTCCTTTTTTTTGCTGTCTCAATTTAATTCTTTTTAAAATTTACTTCTTATACATATTTCTGATTAATATGTTATAGTATAATTCTGTCTCAATTTTAGTTTAGGGTTTGGTTTTTTTTTCTCAAGTTCATGTTCTTTGTGTCATGTGGATTCAAAGAATAATAAAAAAACCTACATTTTTTATTTCAAAAACCTTTATTTTACTTCAATATAAAGTTCAGTTTGTATGTTATGTTACAGTATGTAATATAAAAATCTATTTTTTTTAAAAACTAAAAGTACTTTCAGTGGCTCTTAGTTACCTTCTTTTTAATGTAGCTGCTCCTGCCAAGGTGGTATAATGTTCATAGTTTAATAAAACAACCAAGGTAGCACTGTTGGGCTGATGCATTCTCCACGTATGTGTCTGTAGCTGGTTTTGTCTCTGTATTTCTGTAGCCTATGTAATTTATGTATTTTTTCACTGCATTTTACAGGATGGTAAAGACTACGTTGTCCTTCCTTTGTCAGTATCGCTGAATATGGAAGAGGATTCAGGTCTCTCTCTCCCAACTTCACCTGCTTCCTGTAGGGAGGAAGAGGAAGTCTGTGATCCTAAATTCCATTA